CACTGTCTTGGCTTTCTTAACGTGTCTGGGTAAGTGCGATAGAGAAAGGATGCATTGGTGAGAGCTGTTATGGCCTCACATTAAAAAAATTAAGCCCAGCATCTTAAGGAACTCGTTGGTGATCCCACTCCTCCCTGGTGCCTTCCTGTTTGGCAGTCTCTGGATCAGGCTTTCCATGTCCTCCACACTGATGGTGTCATTTGACGCTTCCCTTTCAGCTTGCAGCAGCTCCATATTGGTGTCACTTAAGTCGGCGGGCTCTGGCTGTGGGAAGAACCGTTGTCGTAATGCCTCAGCCTTCCCCTCAAAAGAGGTTTCTACCGTCGCGTCAGCCCCTTCCCCTGTTCTCAGGGGGGGGACAGTAGGTGCCTGTGGGGGCAAATGGCTTCTTTCCTTGCCCTATTTTGCTAGTCCCCACATCAATCTGGGGTCATCACGGGTCCTGTCAACCAGATCTCTGAAGTTTGCTGTCTTAGCCAAGTGGATTTCTCTGTTGCGCTTGCAGCGTGCCCTGAGCCGCTCCATTTCTGGGAGCTGGGACCTCCTAGCCTGCTTGTACTCCTCCACTGCCTTGGCCACCCTCGGTGACCACCATGTCTTGGATTTTAACCCAGCCTTACTTACGGTGGCGTGTTTGTCCGCTAATGTCCCTACAAATCCTACCAGGTAGTCTGCATACTCCTTGACTGCTTGCCTGGAGTCCAGGCTTTGTGGCACATATAGCTTTTGGCAGTCCCTTGCTACCTCCTCAGGCTCCGCATTCTTCCAGTTTCGTCTCTCAGCCTCCTTTGGGATGGGTGTGAGTTCCAGTGTTGTTTCTATGGGCTTATGGTCAGATCCTTTGCATGCCTCCTCCGCTATTGCACACCTCCTGAGCTTGTCGTGCAGGAGTGGTGATAGAAAGGTGAGGTCTATAGTCGTCCCTGGGCTGCCTCTGTCCTGCCATGTGGTAGCCCCTACAGGTGTGGCAAGCTGGAGACCCAGCCTATCCACCTGTGCTATTAGCTGCCATGCCATGCGGAAGTTTCTCTCCACTCTCACCCCTCCCCACCTCTCATGGTGGACATTAAGATCTCCTAATATGACCAGCTCTGCATCTGTGCCCATTCCGGCTACCTCCTGCAGCTGGCCTATGGGGGACTCCTCCGGTTCACTGCTGTAGCCCCCTGGAGGAGGTGCATACACGTTGACTATTTGCACCTTACCCGGGTCGGCGGTGATCGTCAGCACTGCAATGTATTCCGAGAAGTAGTGGCACTCCCATGTGTGTTCCACGAGCCTTTTCTTCCAACGGCAAGCATACTCTTGGGTGTGTTTCCGGG